TATGTTTATGGTGATGCAAAAATAAAAAACCTTTTAATGCTTCATTAATTGTTGATTGCTTTTTGTGATGGTTTTGCAGCTTACAAATGATATCCACAAGGAACGTCTTGCTGTGGTAAGTTTGGCCTGCGTTTTCTTTGCTGTGTTTTGACTTGAACTTGGTGGTTAGAATAATTCATCATGAATGATTATGAAACATGTAAAACTTATCCTTAGGTTTGTCCTATTTGATTTTCTATAATTTTCTCCTTCCCTTCTTTGGCAGATAAAGAAGTCCATAGTAGCAACTGAGACAGCAAATGCTAGGAATCCCACTGGACAAGCCGCTGGAAATGCAAAGGGTGGTCTTATTAAGACACCTGCCAACATCATAAGCTCCCAAAACTCTAAAATGCGTGAAGTTACATAACAACATTAACCGTTACGAGCAGATTTTATACTACAAAGGTACGTCAAACACAATGCTGATATTTGTGTTCAATAAACAGGAGCTTGTCCTGGAGCTAATTGCTGCTGTTATTTGCGTTCAATTATCTTATTACGCTTACTACAAGTATATGCATGTAGACAGTTCAAGATTTCTTTAGAGAAAAGTTGCTCTTAGTTTCGAGTTTATAATGTCTACCCTTTAATCTCGCTCTTTGTAGACTGTAGTTCTTATAACTTCTCTCTTCCATTATTTACCAAAAAGGAAAAAAAGGTTCCTCCTTTCCTGAATTGGGATTTGATAAATACACTCTATTTTATCAAATTTTGTTGGTCTATAATTAGCATCATGAATTAATTTTCGGGTTTTGGTCTTTGAGTTTAACAGAGTTCCATTTGATCAAGTGAGAGGAGCGGTTGTCATGTTCAGTTGTTTCTGTTTATCACCTTTATCTTCTGCCATTGTTAAATACTGCATGTGTGGTTTCAACCGTGCAGTTTTTACATACGATGTGAAGTACTAATTGTTGTGCTTCTATCTATATGTCGACAGGTATCTGACATCGCATACTTGGTGCAGGGGCCAAATTTTGCTCTAAAATTTCTTGATCTGACGGTAGAATGAGGAGAATCCTAGCAGCCGAGGTCTTCCTGGAGGTAAGGAACCAGAAATCTTCCCTGGGGTAACATTGAAAGTACGAAGTTCTACTTCCACAAATTGATTGATCCCCGAACTTTTCGGATCACCATTAAACCAGTTGTGTATATGGAAGAACTCAAATTTGTCACTTGGAGTGCATATTGGCAAGTTCATAGTTTTGTATTCTTCTTGTCATCCATCTTTACCGATATGGTAAAAATTTAGATCGAAATCTCATTCGATTAAAACCAACGAAATTCAAATTCATTTTTAACTTTTTGATCGAGGTTTTCCTCGTGATATATGAAGGCTTAATGTCTGATCTACTGATTCAAAATTACGCTGCCCGTCTACTGTTTTGTTCATAATTCTTAACCGTGACCATACAAACAGGAGGGCACGGGAGGGCAGATAATCTTTGTCCTTTGTTCTTTCCTTGGCATATATTTAATCATTTTTCTGTCATGGTATGTACATTCAACAGTTATATCTTGTATGTACTATGTGCGAATCTAATAAATCTTTGCAACCGTTATATCTTGCATAAAGCGGATTTTTTGACCGCTAAATTATTGGTAAAACAAAATTATGTTGCTTATGTGGGAAGAAAAGTGGCTTTTCCATGTGTTCCGATATGCTTTTGTCTTGGCATCAAAAGGATATGGTGAATTCTGTTAATTGGTTGGGGCACCACTGTATTGTCTTGCACATGTGGATTTCTTTGTCCCATGTTGAATGCCATTGCCACGTGCTCGAGAGATTTTTCAGTGTACTGAAAATATGATTTGGAATACCAACTGTCATAATGCAAATAGTTGAATACTTGAAAACCAAAATTTAAGGCTGAATTTGGGGTATGCTTACTTGATTGAAATGAAATAAATTATCGAACGGAATGATACTTGGTTGTTGAAGTTTGGAATAAACTACTTATTTCTTGGTGACCTTCGGTTACTCAGGCATGAGATAAACTGATTTTTATTAGAGGCCCACTCAATTTTTTTTTTTTTATTCATTATGTGTTTAGTAGATGCAAGAGATGTCAAGAAAATAGATGATAATTCATACCATGCGTGCTCATAAATATGTTCTTAGCTTTTAGGTGGGTCTCTGTTTTTTTTTTCTTTTTTTTTTTTTGGTGAGTACATTGATATTTTTATTATTAAGGGGAGGGAAGATCAGCTAAGCCATACTATGGGCAACTTAATTTCGCATTGAATTAAGTGAAGAAGAATATCATCAGACCATAATACTGAGTGACTTTAGGCGGGTCTCTTAAATTTGAAGAAAAGTGAGCTACAACCTTTTAGGGCTTGTTTAACAATGGCTAAAGATGTTTTTGCAATGTGTTAAGTTTAGTCAAATTAGTTAGAGTAATATGCTTCTTTCTATGCATTAAAGTTCGATCAAGCATCTCTGTATTTCAAAAAAAAAAAAAAAAAAACCACTTGAATTTGTAATAAGTATTTTATTGTGCTTTTAACAAAAACGCTTTCAGCAAAAAAAAGATTTGATATTCTTTCTCAAAGTTATAGGATATTTAATTTTTAAGTATTTTATTGTGCTCTTAACGAAAACGCTTTCAGCAAATAAATATTTCATATTTTTTTTTAAAGTTTTAGGATATTTAACTTTTATCTTAAAGATAGGGTATTTAATTGTAAAAGTGGAGTCATCTTTTGTATAATGGTGGTGCGACTGGAGTCATGATCCAAATTCCAATGCTTGTAATAGTGGTGTCATCACATTATTCAATTGGTTTTAATACAGCTAGGTAGAACTGGGATTTATTTAAAATATACTTTGACAGTGAGCTGATGTTCTAATTACTTTAATAACACGTTGGATATTTAATTAATGAATAATGCTTGACGGCTGAAAGAAGTGCATCAAATCTTATTGAAAATCAGTGGAAAATTGACATGAGTGATGTTGGTTAAAGTTTTCAATTATTTAATTATTTGGCCATATGTCTATTTTTAATTGGACATCTGTTCAATAAGACTTAATGCTCTTCTTTCAACGATCAAACACTATCCCTAATTAATAGCTTAGCCTAACCACCACTTGCAATTATTGTTGCAATATTTAATAACCAAGAAGGATAAGAATAATTAAATTTTCACTATAAAATGACCAAAACCCTACGGTTGTGTTGTGTGGGAATCTCAAATAATACAGTTGAGGGGGATGGCAATAATGAAATCCTTGTATTGATCTTCGGATTTAGAAATTGACGAAGATCGCATGTTAGCTTAATATGTCGTATTTTATTTTATTGGCATCATAAAAATCATTATAAATAACGGAAAACTCCGTAAAAACTAAAAAATTTGTAACTCAAAATGGTTAAGATTATTTACTATGAGTAAATTTGTTACAAATATAAGTTACGTCACTTAGCTTGTAAACTTTTACCTTGATCATTTTAAATTCTTGATTGGATTAAATTTGATGATAATTAGATCATGTTTCAATTTTTTTTCTTTATGAAAAACGATTATCAGTTATGTCATATGAGAATTTGATAACAAAAAATAACACCTAAAACGTATGTGATCTACTCAAATTATAACATGTGAAAAATACAGCACATAACAAAGTGTTACATAACCATATACAAATTTATAACTGTGGTAATTAAAAATAGTTTCCACTCGAATCCCTAAATTCGACATCCCCTCCTCGCTTTTCAAAAATCGAAAAGAAGTCGGAACCCATCATTTTTCATCGGTACTCACGAGGGAGTATCCAACATACTAACTATCTTATGTGGTACAATCAAATAACGACACGTGCCTTTTTGTACACACAAACACCAAACTAAAACCAAACATTCACCAGTCTTGTATCCAACCGTTATTCATCTCCCTCACCAACCTTCGCCAGACTGTCCTCTTTGTCGTCGTCGTTGCCAGCCGGTACCCCCACCCCTTCCACCACCTCCCCTCCCATGCATCTCCCATCTCTCTCTCTCTCTCTCTCTCTCTCTCTCTCATCGTTGTCCGCAATTTTGAATAAACAGCTCCAAAATTCAAATCATGTGATCTTTTACAAGTTCTAATCTCGCATATTTCCAAAACCATGTGTTATTATATAAATAGGGAAAAGATTAATTTTTTAGCTCTCCCTTCACTTGTAATATAACATATGACATCTCGTGTTTCAGGCGCTGTTCTAAAAATCTCCGCCTAGGTGCTAGGCGGCTAGCCACCTCCCTGATTAATGACTAGACGTTTGAAAATTAAGAAATGAAGTCTAGACCGCCTAGGCACCCGCCTAGCCCGCCTAGACTGCATAGACACCGACTAGGTTGCGACTTATTTAGACAGAAATAGATAGCTTTCATTTTGCATTTTACTTGTTTTTCAATAAATTGTAAAGACTTGTTGAATACTTAAATGAACACACATTATATGCTTGTTCTCTATGTTTTCATTATGTCCAATACTTCATAATATATATATATATATCATTCTATTTTGTAGTTTATGATGAAATCATATATATTTTAAGTATAAACAGACACTTATTTACACGAAATATAATCAATTTACTTAAATTCTCCTAATCCGTCTAGCCGCTAGGCTTTAGCCTGTCGCCTGACTAGCGTCTAATGTTTTTTAGAACTTTGGTTTTAGACACGTTGAAAAATCTCTGTACATCAAAAAGTCAGTATCTTGAATCCGGACAGGTTAGGACCCAAGTATTATGCTTTTGTAATTCCATTTCGGCATTTCCGTCCCCTCGTGGATATTCCCTTGAGCTGGGGATTTTCAGCAAACAAAGTTACAAAGTGACTGGACAAGATCGAGATCCACTTGAAACGTGCCACCTGTCGATCATGATTGATCCCAAACGCACACGTCTCCTCCTCATCTTCCGGCACCTAAAACCTATATAAACTCGCCGAGATGCCTCTTGAGGCACCATCGCTCTCGTCGTCCCTCCCAATCCGACGAAACCCCAATTCCGATTATTATATATATATATATATGTGTGTATGTATATGTGTATGCATACTATAATATAGTATATCTCTCGCATATACATACACATTATATAAATACATACTCGCCGTCGTTTCCTCTGGGATTGTTCTTATCGTTCTGAGAGAGATCGGAGAAGGCGTTTGTTCATGGAGAGCGCGATGACGAATTCTAAAGGCGTGGCGGTCGATGGTGAAAGAGACTGCGTTCGGGCTAATCATCTGAAGCGCGAGAAGCTCATTATTGATACCGACCCTGGAATTGGTCAGTTTTCTGTTTCAATTTGCTTGATTTTTTTTTTCCCAAGTGTTATGCATTAGTGTTCCTATTGCCTGTTTGGTTGCTAGAAAATTTGAATTTTGAGGGTTCCTTTTGCTCTGTTTGGTTGCTGTGAAAATTTGCGATTAGTAACCAGGCTGGAATTTTAAATTTTCAACTTTGTGATCGTTCCTTTTGATCTGTTTGGTTGCTGAGAGAGTAAATTTTGAATTTTGGGATGGTTCCTATTGCTCTGTTTGGTGACTGAGAAAATGTGGGAACAGTAACTAGGATGAATTTTTAATTTTGAGTTTCGTGATGGTTTGGAATGTGGAAAGTGGGGAACTTGTTTGAGCTAAGCTAAAATTGGGGAAAAAGGTTAGGCTCAATTGTCTTACTTTTAGGCTTAGCTTGCGTTTTTTTGTTCATTGAATTGACCGCATTTTGATGATTTCTATTCTGAATATTTGATTGGTTTTATGCCAAATGGTGATGGAGTTAGCGTGAGGATCTTTAGTTATTGAATTAATTATGTATCCGAAATGTGATCGTCTTGTGGAGTGTTTCTTTGTCCATGCCTGACTTTTTATTTGGTGATTTTGACTTTTTCATAACCATTTTTTGGATAATAATAGTTTGGAACTGGGAGTTGAGGAAGCATGAAAGAAAAGCTTAGTTATGTTGAGAGTTGTCCCACATCGGAAACGGAAGCTTTACCTTAATAGTTCACATATTCTTGGGCCTCTTCCTCCTATTGCCGATTGGATGCTCACATTCTAATGAGTTTTATTGACTTATTCATGGTTAATCAGTGAATTATGGAAAAGGAAAGAATTGGGATCATATATTATGAACTGCTTGTTTTTTGGATTGTCCCTCTTTCCTTTTTTATCACAATGTATAGAGTAGTAAAGTTAAAGTCTGTGGGAGAATATGCCCTTGAGGGTTTAGAAACTTTATAATGCTTGCATAGAAATGGGAATTGAATGACATCTACTTAGTAGTTAAATGTAATGGAAAATCGTTTGTTATGGAATCCAAAACAACATTTATCGACTTTTCTTTCTCCAACATGTTTTCATGTGTAACACTTTTCTTTATTGCTAATCAGCAGATGATACCATGGCCATCTTAATGGCATTTCAATCACCGGAGTTAGAAATCTTAGGCTTCACAACAATATTTGGTAATGTCACCACGGAAGACGCCACTCGCAATGCCTTGCTTCTGGTACGTCCTCATGTCTTTTGAATTTCATCTTCTTGTAATGAATTCGGGTCTGTCTATCAATTCCATTTTTTTATTTTCTTTTGAGTGTGTTCATGATCAATTACTGTTCTTAATCTGCAAAAGGATAGTGTGAGATCGCAGGGCATCCAGGTTTGCCAGTGGCAGAGGGAAGTCCTGAGCCTCTAAAGGTAATAATTTGATATGTATTCCTTTAGCTGGCCTAGAAGGCTAGAATTGAGGTTAGCCTTCGGGCATTCCTTGGGCATTACACCTTTATATTTGTTCATTGGCTATTTTTTTGTCCCTTGTTTCATTTGATAGTTGATAGTTTAATAATGTTCACACCCTACCCTATGCCCCCTTCTTTAGTTTCTAATAAGTAACCTTATTTAGTTTATCGTAACCATGTTTCCTTGTGGAAGTAGGGTGGAAGCCCACGTGTGGCAGACTTTATACATGGTTCTGATGGGATGGGGAACTTGCATCTACCTCCTCCAAAAACAAAGAAAATTGAGAAGAATGCTGCTGAGTTTTTAGTTGATACGATCTCTGAGTATCCTGGTGAAGTATCTATACTGGCCCTGGGTCCCTTGACAAACTTAGCATTGGTAAGTTGAAGAGTCCTTTTTACTTCTTCATTTTGGTGTTGACCTGAGCTTCTGAGATTTGATATCTTTCCTTATTATGACAATGCTTCTTTGCTCAGGCAATCAAAAGGGATTCTTCATTCGCGAAAAAGGTGAAAAGGGTGGTCGTACTTGGCGGTTCCTTCTTTGCTTTGGGAAATGTAAATCCTGCTGCTGAAGCAAATGTAAGTGCCACCGTGCATGCAACAAGTAAAAATAACACTTCACCAAATTATTTCATGCTTTATTTAGAAGTAACTTTTTCCTGAAAAAAATTGTGGGGATTGGTTTTCATCCCTCTTAGGCTATTAGCTTATTCTCCCTCATATACTTGCATAACTGCCATTAACTGTTGAGAACTATTCACATTTACTTGTCAGTTTTGTCTCAATAATGTGTACATGAAGAAACCAATGTCTGGCTTGCAGATTTATGGAGATCCAGAAGCGGCAGATGTTGTGTTTACGTCTGGGGCTAACATTACTGTTGTTGGAATAAATATTACAACCCAAGTGAAATTTACAGGTGCAACTTCCAGTTTACAGTTTGCTTAACTTTCCGGACACATTCTCATGAGCTATTCCACTGGAATTTTGATATCCTAACTGACTTGAATATCGTATTGTGGTTTCAGATGATGACCTCCTTCAACTGCGGCAATCTAAAGGAAAGCATACTCAATTCATATGTGACTCGTGCAAATTCTACAGAGACTGGCATGTGAAATCTGATGGTGTTTATGGTAAACTTAAGCGATAGCCTTACACTTACCTGTTCAAAATCTGTTAAAAGCCCTTCTATTTTGGTTTGACGTTCTACGTAAATGATTCTCTGCCGTATGTTTCAGGGATTTTCCTTCATGACCCTGTCAGTTTTGTAGCACTAGTCCGTCCTGATCTCTTCACGTACAAGAAGGGCGTTGTGAGGGTTGAGACTCAGGGTATCTGCGTCGGGCATACACTGATGGATCAAGGACTGAAAAAGTATGTGCAGATTAGCGTGCTCCAATGAATTCTTTTTTACGCAAATGCTTCTCTACGAGTCTAATGAGTATACTATATTACAGGTGGAATACAGGCAATCCATGGACAGGTTATTCCCCTGTTGAAGTTGCTTGGACGGTGAATGTGGATGCAGTCCTGGATTACATACGAAATCTGTTGATGAAATCGTGAAAGCGCACTACATATTACTGAGAAGGATAATTGCTGCTGCCCCTAGTTTCCATTGACAATACCTTCCTTCATGGCCTTTCCCTTCTCAGAGATGCCCCAAGTCCGAGGCGTGAAGAGAGAGCGAGCCTTCCATGAAACCTTGTGTTTATTTGAAATTGTAAAACATTTTCTGAATGATGTCCGGTTACACCTCTAATGAAGTTACCAACAAGGAATAGGACATTCCTTTCGAATTTCTGTGCAAAATTGTCGCGTTTAATTTTCCGTCTCAAATTTTTACATGTCTAATTACTCGGTATGACGTTAAAGAAATTAATTTGTGTTTCGTCCCAAGAAAACCTGCATAAAAATGACACTTGAGCAGTAGAGCAGTGATCCACAAGAAATCTATTTGAACTCAATTCTTGTAACTGTGACTGCCCAAGTTCCCGGTTTGGAGGTCTCTATCCATCCCTCCAACCAGTTTCTTTAAATAATCTGCCTGCTCAGTCTCTAGTGGTTAGGTGATGCCTATTTTTTTATTTATTTTTTAGAATTTTGCGTCCGTTAGCCAAATTACATGTCAGTGCGGTCACACACATAAAACTAAAACCCTATAATTTTATGTACAAGGATGACGGATGCTGCTCTAGTTCTTTAGACAACCAGAAACCGCCATATATGACAACCCCACTCAAAAATCTCTCAAACGTAAGAGGTATTATCAAGTTTTTGTAAATAGGTAAACATATGGTATTTATTTAGACGCAACATGCAAATCCTTCGTCTTATTTGGTGTTTGATACCTTTCTACAATCGTCATCTAGCTAATTATATTCAATATGTCAAAACAGGGCGGCAGAACACAATATTATAATTTTCCTAGTATTTTTTTGACTTAATTTATTAGCCACCACACTCAGCCACCATTGTTTGAAAAAAGTCTTTATTGCCTTAACCAGCCACCCCTCTAGAAAAAGGAGCCAAAGGCATACCAAAGAGAAGCAGGTGTGTCAAAACCCCCAAGACCAAATCCATTTAATATGGCAGTTGATATGAAAAAGGTAGAGAATTTACTCTATTGTTTTGAAAGTGCTTCTAAAATGGTTGAAAATATTTCTAATGAGAGTGCTTTATAATCAATTCTTAGTAAAATGTAAGTGAATTCTGAAAAAAAAAAAACTTGAAGTGCTTCTTGCAGGAAGTATTTGCAGTGCTTTTAGAATCCAAACACATTTTCACCAAAAGCACTTTCAGCCATTTTCACTTCCAAACGAGTCCTATGTTTTGTAAACCATATGATGTGGTAGTTGATGGTTGAATTTTTTTTTTCTAACGATTTAAAGAAGAAATCCAACATGTAACCGTTACATCATGTGCTTTACAAAGTATACCGATTATTTTCCCCTCTTCCTTTATTTTTTTAATTATTTTTTAGGGTTTTCTTTTTTCAAGTCATTTGTGCTGACGTTTACCTACCACATTGAGAGAGCAGTTTCAACTCCCTCCAAGAATTTTATACCCATCCAACCACCAAAGACATGCCCCCCTTCTCTTAAATAATACCACAATTCCTCTCCAAGAGCCATAATCCAATTTCAATCCAAAGAAAAATCAACTTGGCACAAATTTAAAGCAAGCATGGTCTATGTTTTATCCTCGCCAACTACAATGGCAGCAAAGATTTCCTGGTACTGCGCTTTGATTGTGGCGGCGATGCTGGTTCTGAGCTGCTGTCAATCGTTATCCGGCGAAAGCGAATATAAGGGAAGGATGGTTCAGCTCCAGATTGATGATGATCATATGGAATACATGCCGTGTGATGAAATTTACGTGGTTCGTGAAGGAGAGACACTGCAAACAATTAGTGAAAAATGTGGTGACCCCTACATAGTTGAGGAGAATCCACATATTGATGACTCTGATGACGTTTTTCCTGGTTTGGTTATCAAGATTACTCCATTTAAACAAAGGTAGAATAATACAGAATTACTAGATTTTTTTTTCCTCTTTCTTATTTGACTGTAAGTTTAAGCAGTTTATAGAACAAATGTTATATACAATCCAACTTTTTCCGACGAGAGGACTATGATTCTGACGATGGCGGAGTAGGGAAGCTTGCTACCCTCCATGTTTCTGGAAAAGATTCAGAGGTTGAGTTTGTGTTGGATGTAAATGTGTGAGAAGAAATAAGCCTGTACAAAAGAGAAGTGAAAAATACAAAAGGAACACATGTATTTGCAATGAGAGTGTGTGTCGTGTGTTTATTTTTTTCCTTTCTTTTCCATTTCATGGCTTTCTTTTTTTTCTTCCATTTTAGCTCATTCACTTAACACCCTTTTTTTTTTTTATTGAACACCAACATATACTGTCTCTGTATACATACATTAACCATAAGTCAATCTTTGGGATACATTACAGTCCTTCCCTCTACTTGAGGGTGCTTCTTACCGTTTTGTGTGAGTGATTTCTTGATCATGCTTCCGTTTGATGTCACCGATCCTAGCTGCGGCTGGGATCAGTGGGTGGTCTTTTATTTTTGTCCTTTCTTTCTTCTCCTCTTCCATTTGCTGATGGTTCTTCCAATTTTCCTTTCTGGCCTTTCCAATTCCTCAACCCCCGTGGATATCCCTTTTCATAGCCCTTCCTTGCTTCGATTTTCAGCCATGTTTTCTGTTGAGTTCGTGTGTAGAGTTTCGGTGTTTTATCCAGCTCAGGTGTTTCCTACACCACCATGTTTTCCTTGTTGTCTGCCGTTTCCGGCGGTGTTGCTTGGGAATTTCCCGGAGCTTCTTTCTGATGGTTGGCTTCTCTCTCGCTGACTATCTCTTGTTGATGGCTGTGCGCAAGTGGCGTCTGTGAAGGTGATGATCGATGGTGGACGGAGAATCGGATGGTTGGCTGATTCTTGGATCAGTGATGAAGAGCACAATAGATAGTTCTCAGACGTTTTGTTGTGTTTGGGCTTCACTGTTGTTGGGCTCATTTTTTGTGTTTTCTTTGTTTTTAAGCCCGTTCTTTGTTTGTGTATAGGAATAAAGTGGGCATTTGTTTGTTTGTAAATGTATGTTTGTTTTAATAAAAGTTCTTCATTGGCAATCTTTTTGGATCCCACTTTAACCAAAAAATCTTTGGGAGACATTTTTGTTTCATCTATATGATTATTTATTTATTTATTTAACAAGGCATGACACATTTAAGTTTGAGATACCTTTAACGTTGAAAGGAAAATACCACCAAATCAAAAGGTAATGGAAGTTTATATGGTTGGTTACGTTACAAAAGAGAATAAAGTCGCAATCTTGTCTATTTTTTTTTCACATACTGTAAAGGAATTTTTATTCTCTCTGAGAAATCTAAGGGACTGTTCATTGGATGCTTTACTCAAGAATCTTCATATTTTTAGTTTAGGTCAATAGAAAAATATAGGAAAAAGTAGTATTCTGGCCCTAGCTCCTTATGTTTATTGGACCTATTTCGTCTTTACATTTTGATGGAAGTTCATGACATTAATGTATTAATAAATTTACATATGTTAGCTACATAATTGTTTTTAAATAAAAATAAATAATTGGTACCCTTATGGAAACTCCTTTTCTGCCAAACCCACAGGTTGTTACTCCAATGGTCGTGTCCTCGCTGATTGAATCGGTACCTTTACCTTTATACCTTAAACTCCTCTCTCTCTCTCTCTCTCTCTCTCTCTCTCTCTAGTTAATTGATGAGTTTCTTACACTTTATCTTTACTTTTCATGATACAATATGCAACAACAAGAGAAACGATAAACACACATTTGTTTTGCTCTCTTACTTATCCTTGTTTAATTTTTGCCGTTAAGTTTGTTTGATTTATTCAAACTAATGGTTAGAAATAAAGATGGTGTCTGTAAGAAACTAAAAATGGTGGGGGAGAATAATTGGATAAATTACTTTGGGTGCAAGAAAGTATTCTTTTAGTCACTTGAGCAATAATTTTTTTGCCCTAAATTTTAGGGATAATTAGGTCCAAAAATGTGACCAATTAGTAATAATCCAAGATTTTTTCTTAAGAATATGTGAATTGTGAGAAAATTTCCCTTGATTTCTCGATGATGATAATACATATTGTTGTAGTCCTATTATATTAGGAATTTGATTGTGTAAATCCTAACATATCTAGGATATCCTTATGAGATTCTACCATATCTCTTAGACTAGATATTATCCTATTAGGGTAAGGATTTAACCTTCCCTACTACTATAAATAAATGCACAATGGGGTGGAATAGAACACACCTCACAATTACACATCTCTCTCTTCTCTCTCTATGTGCCTGTTGACCCTAAAAATTACAAAGCCTACGTGGCGCGCAGGCCAAGTAACTAATAAGCTAACTACGTCATTCGGTTGAATGCGGGGCGTGCCAACTCGTCGGCGGAGCTCGGCCGAGGAGTAAAATTTGATGTTGTCGCGTTGGGCGCGTTGTTGACTTCTATATCTTGCGATTGCGACCGAGGAAGGAACGCTCTCGGTCTCTGGGTTCTATAGCCTGAAGACAAGGCCACTAATTCTACGGAGTTCACAAATCGTCGGAACCTGATTCGATCACTGTGATTATATTCGTAAGAGTATAAGCACGCCGAATCGAGACCAAACTATATGGGCACAGGTACTCAAATGTGATATATGTCTTGATGGTAACCGTAGTTCGGTCGTCGGAATGCCGAACCCTGAAACTTACTTGCGAGTATCCAATCATAAAATCACTCGGCGTCCAATGCGCCGAGCAATGCAATTCGTAACACCCAACTATGCCGGAAAGGCTAGTGAGATGACCTCTACCAACAAGGGTTCGAAAACCCTTCTCGGCAGAGACTTAGATAGATAATCGGTCGACCTCGACGCAGTGCTGTTTATCCAAACTGAAGGTGTTTCTCGGTCGGCTGATTCTGCGGCAGCAGTGCTGTTTATCCAAACTGAAGATGCTCGCCAGGTGCTTCCACAGTGCTGTTTATCCAAACTGAAGGTGTGTCGGCAGGAAAAGAAAAGGAAAAATCTCAAGGTGTTTGAGAGGTTTTGCGCAGGACAATTGTATGTTGATTTTGAAGGGGCTTTCTATTGCGTGATTTCTTGTATTTATAGCATCCCATTCCTTGAGACCAATTCGCATTCTGATTCGGATTGGGAGTCCTTGTCCCATTTCACCTCTAACTCGAACAAACCTACTCCTCCTGGGATTCTGAATTTTCCTTCCTTTTGAAGCTTTATTCCTTGCCGG